GTACCTGTTGCAATTTATCTGCTGCAGTTATAAACAAGAACTGGGGAAAGAGGAACATCTTGGGCCTGGGACTGTTTCTAAACATCTTGGGTTTTGACAATTTGCCCAGTACTCTTTGAAATTGCCCAGACAACTGATGAGGGGAGGGAGTGGATTATAAGAGATGTTTGATACACTCGCAATTTGGAGTCCTTCATGGATCCAGGGTCCTGTTTGGATTAAGATGTGGTAATGCTGGATCCCCGTGTCTTGTGAGCGGACTAACGTCGACTGGCCATCAGGACTTCAGTTCTGATCATCAGACGCTGGTGTAGCATGCTTGGGTTATGAATGTGGAGTGAATGGTTTATTTTGTAAGCAATAAAGAGTATTTGTGGATTATATACCAACACTGTGCCCAGTATCTGCCTGCTCCCCTATCTGGCAGGGAGACTCCTGCTGTGGGTCGAACACCATGACAGTTATTTGCAAACATGGCCTCATTTTTCTCTGCTGTGTTGATAAGATACAAAGATATTTGCTGCTTCAGGCGAATCTGAGGAGAACGAATTAGGGTGCCACTATGCTCAGCTGCCATTAACTCAGGAGTAAACTCAAATCTCCTGGAGAGATCACACTGAAGGTGACACCGTGCCCTGTGTAACTCCCCCCACCCCCTTCCAGGACTGGGAGCATGCATTTGCCCCTGAAAACTGAGCTGGACATTCTTAAATGCTGTTGGACTAATGCACTGATGCTCCATTCACCAGCTCTTGAGTGTCAGCTGCGGCCCCCCTACACAACTTGGACATGATCTGCTAGGCAGGCATGATGCAAAAGCCAAGCCAGGCCGGTGGGTAAGCTGGCAACAAAAAGGGCTATGCCAGCATGACTGGCAGCACAGCACACCTTGTGATGCAGAGTGGACGCATGCGCTAGTGGTTTAGGCACAGGAGAGGAATCGTGAAATTGGGCTTCTGGTTCTGATTTGGATTTAGTTCAAAATGTGTCCTTTGGACTTAGAACCCAAAGAAGCTTGTACCAGCTGCTCAGAGAATGTTTTTCTGGGTTGAGCATTGGATGGGGCTACTGGACAAGCAGCCTGGAGAATGTGACCCAATCCACACCTCCGTGCCACAGATCTGCTGTGTCTCAAGAACTGCTGAGCGAGGACAAAGCCAGCAACCGCTATGTTAAGCTTTCCATAGAGATGGTTTAATTCATGCTGGATGGGCTGCATGAATCACCAGGGCCCTGCACTGGATTTGCCAGAGGACTTGGCCAGGAGTTTCTTCAAAGGGGAATGGGGAAGAGCCGTGCCCTGGAAAAACTAAAGATAAAGGTTAAGAACTTCATCTTTGGGGGTCAACAGGGAAGACTGATGCTCCTGGGTTTCTAAGGATGATCACCCTGCCAGTGAGTGACTGGCCAGTCCAGCCTCTGACCACACTGTGTCCCACACTGAACCAGTGTGCTTATTAGCTAAAAGCAGCGAGCCAACAGAATGTCTTTGACTGGCTTCTTCACTGCAAGAGCTACTCCAGGGGGAATTCTGTGCCACTTTGCATGTGCAGGATTAATGCCCCCGGCCTTTTTTTCTCAGTAGAAAATGCATTCTGACAGAGAGGTGCTGCAGTTACACCTTTCACCCACTGGGGGCTGCTGTGGCACCAGAACAGAGGGCAGCCGGGGCCAGAGCAGCCAGCCACAGAGAGGGGAGGGAGGAGGAGGAGAGGCTGCATTCCTCAGTGCCCTGCCCATGGGGCCAGGTGAAGAGGAATGGGATATGGGGTGGATGGACAGAGCGGGACACATGGTGCTGCTGGGGGATCACATAGACGGGGTTCAGAAGGGTGAATGTGGGAAGACAGACTGGGGCAGGGGTCACAGGAACTAGTGGGGGTGACAGCATTGAGCCAGGGCAAAATGGGAGTGAGGGTGCAGGGCCCATTGGGATGGAGGGAGGGGGGTTCTGGGACACATGGGGCTGGGGGGGAGAGGTGTCTGAGGGGGCACAGGGACACATGGGGATGGGGAGGAGGGGTGGCTGAGTGGGGTGCAGGGACACATCGCGGGGGGTGCAGGGACACCTTACCTAGGGAGGTGGTGGAATCTCCTTCCTTAGATATTTCTAAGGTCAGGCTTGACAAAGCCCTGGCTGGGCTGATTTCGTTGGGGATTGGTCCTGCTTTGAGCAGGGGGTTGGAGTAGATGACCTCCTGAGGTCCCTTCCACCCCTGATATTCTATGATTCTGTGATTCTATGACACATGGGGACAGGGGCAGATGTGCCTGACTGAATGGGAGAGGCTAGGAGTCAGCCAGGGTCTGTATGGGGGAAGCTCCCCAACTCCCTAACAATCCCCCCCCCCCAAAAAACAAACAAAAACGCTGTTCCATATTTCTCCCACCCACACTCAGCAACCCTCCAGGTTCATGCCCAGGATCCTTCCCAGCAATTAATTCCCTCTCCCTCAGTTCCTCCATTACCCCTGACTCCCCCAAGCCTTTGCTCTGCTTCTGAGGAGTGTGGGAAATCCTGTTCTGTATTGTAGTTTAAATTAATTATTACTCAAAGCTCTGTATTAATATGCCTCGTACAGAATCTATTTGTCAAAAAATATTTCCTAAATCTGTTTTGTCATCTGTATTGTTACAGACATACTTGCTGACGGGTATTTTGAAATAAATGACCAAAATAATTGAAACTGGCGTGATTATACTGTGTTATTTTGACAAATAAAAGCGGCAGAATTTTAAAATACTGAGCATAGAATTTTTAATTTTTCTGGTGCAGAATTCCCCCAGGAACAAAGAGCAGAAGAGGGCACAACACCCCACCCCCACCCCTGCGCCCTTCTCTTTCCCCAAATACACACTCAACCCGATGGATGCCAGGCATGGAAAACATCAGCCCAAACATTAAGAGTTTGGCAAAGTTACAAGCAACTGAAACCAGGGTCTTATATGGGATGCAGCGGGCAACCGTCCCTCCAGGCATGCTGCCAGCCTGACCTGAGGCCAATGAAAATCCACAAGAACAAAGAATGTGAACAGCTATCACAGTGCCAGTCCTTTGCATTGATATGACACTAGGGGGCGCCCCTTGGCCAGGGTTTAGGGGATAAGCACAGAGCAAATAACATCCATTCTAATGACACATGAGCATTAATAATCATTAGCCTGAATCTGCTCTGATGTGGAGGGTTCGGACCCCACTGCCTGGAGCCTGGGGCTGAGGATGCAGCTCAAGATGCGTCCCTGGTCAATAAAACTTCTTCCAAGACACGTGAAGTGCAGGAAGCTGCGTCAAAAGGCCCCTGGCACCAGGGATCCTGAGGCAGGGACAGGATTTATTACTGGCCTGCCGCACTGCAGGCTGCTCCGGGCAGTGCAAGCGGCAGAGTCTGAGGAGCCAGTGTATTGGCAATCAGATTTCTGTGGGATCGAGTGCGCTCCACCCCTGTTACCTACCGATCAGTTACCCCTCCAGAAACCCCCTTCCACCATCTCCAACCCACCCCTTAACCACCTGCCCCCAGAACCTCGCCCCACGTCCAACCCATCCCTTACCTCTCTGCCCCGCAGACCCTCGCCCCACGTCCAACCCATCCCTTACCTCTCTGCCCCCAGACCCTTGCCCCACGTCCAACCAATCCCTTACCCCTCTGCCCCATAGACCTCCCCATCCCACATCCAACTCATCCCTTACCCCTCTGCCCCCCAGACCCTCATCCCACGTCCAACCCATCCCTTACCTCTCTGTCCCCAGACCCTCGCCCCACATCCAACCCATCCCTTACCTCTCTGCCCCGCAGACCCTTGCCCCACGTCCAACCCATCCCTTACCTCTCTGCCCCCAGATCCTCATCCCACGTCCAACCCATCTCTTACCCCTCTGCCCCATAGACCCCCCATCCCACTTCCAACTCATCCCTTACCCCTCTGCCCCCCAGACCTTCATCCCACGTCCAACCCATCCCTTATCCCTCTGCCCCCCAGACCCTCATCCCACGTCCAACCCATCCCTCACCCCTCTGCCCCACACCCCCACAACCGACACATGCCTTACCCCTCAGCCTCTCCAGACCACCCCCCACATCCAATCCACCTCCCCACGCTCTGCACCCCAGACCCCTGCCCCCATGTCCAACCCGTCCCTTACTCTCTGCCCCCCCAGGCCCTGACCTCACATTCAACCCATCCCTTAACCCTCTGCCCCAGGCCCCGCCCACATCTTCAACCTATCTCTTACCCCTTTGCACCTCAGACCCCCGTCCCCATGTCCCACCCATCCCTCACCCTCTGCCCCCAGACCTCGCCCCCACATCCGACTCATCCTTCACCCCTCTGCCCTGAGACCCCACCCCTACGTGCAACTCATCTCTTACCCCTCTGCTTTCAGACCCCTGTCCCCACATCCAACCCATCCCATACCCCTCTGTCCCTCCAGAACCCCGTGCCCATGTCCATCCCATGTCTTCACCCTCTTCCCCCCAAACCCTCACCCTGCCTGTCCAACCCATCAGAGTTGGGAGGCTGGGAAAAGTTATATTAACAAACATACAAGTATCATTTTTCAAAGCAGACTTGCTAGTGCAGCGTTCACGGCAGCCAGCAGCAGCGCAGAAAGAAGGGTGGCAATGGGGCGCTCAGTCTCCTGTGAAAAGTGATATTGACAAAGTTTCTTCATGGGGTCCCAGTATTAAACACTGACTGGTTTAAACAGTAACTGTTTTGCTTATAACAATCATTTGATAAAAATGTGTTTGTCTTAATTTAAAATTGGTGAGAAATGGTCACATCATTTTAAACAATTGGGTTATACATTTAGTATTTAAAATAGTGCTAAATATAAAAAACGTAGTTTTGATTTATAACGGGGTTCGCACTCAGAGGCTTGCCATGTGAAAGGGGTTGCCAATACAATATGTTTGAGCACCACTGCTCTAAGCGAACGATACACACCTTGCCACCTGAAATGGGGTGACCCAGACAATTTAACTTAACACTGGATTGGATTAAACAATAAAAGAAGTTTATTCATAAAATAAAGGATTTTAAGTGAGTACAAGGAATGAGGCCTAAAAGTCAGAAATGGTTACAAGAAAAATAAAGATAGAACACTTCCCAGTGCCTAACTTAGCAAACTATACTTGACTGAAAGTATGGGCCACACTTTTTAGGCCAGGGCCCCTCCCCCAAAGTCCAATAGCTGTTTCTTTTGTGGTCGGTGCAAAGAGGGAGGTGGACAGGGAGAGTGATCCCTTGGCATGTTTGCCGCTCACTTTTATAGTTCAGCCCCATCATACAGTTCTATCCTGCTGAGCAGGAGCCATGGTGTCTAGTGAGGAGAGATGCTTCCTGCCGTTTTCTTTCACCGGTGTGTGCCGCGGTACAGATTTTCTTTGTCTCCTTTCTTTTCTCTCTCGCTGTCTCAGGACTCTGTTTACAATTTGTATGGCAGTTGAGAGAACCACAAAGCCCTTTGTTTGAGACCTGCTTGACCAGTTGTGCCTAATCAGGGCTACATGAGTTTGAACATGTCCCTTTAACATTATACAGGGGGGATTTCATAACTTTACACACAATGTTGCTATGCACTTTCACCATGATATTATTGACCAGTGGGTTGATAGTTTTCAGATGATGATGTACGAAGCATATTTGGTACAATGATTATTGCAATAGTGTGTAGAGTGTGAATACAGGAGTGCATTCAGTCACTGTGGTGTATGAGTACCATGGTCTTTCCAGTCCATTGGTGGGGATGGGGATTTTATGAGAGAGCTGGTCTCTGGGACCAGTGTCCCCTGAAACTAGCTCAGTTTTGATTTAGTTTATTCACCTAGAAATTACCTGAGATCTGGATGGCCAGCTGCTTGGCCAGATCCTCTTCCAGCCTACACAGCCCTTCCTGCCTCGCCCCAGTCACATTTCCTCCTTTGCTCGACCATGACCGTTCCTGCAGCCCCATCTACCTTGGCCCCCTACCCTGACACCTGTCTAAGAGGGACAGTGCAGAAGGATCCCAGCAACACGATCTGGGTTCCGCCCGCCATATCTGTTGTCACAGAGTCACAGGGTCTGGTCTATGCCCCAGTCTGTCACCAGTCTCCTGAGAGTGACCCCTCTAGCCCTATGGTTCCACCAGGGCAGGCTGGTGGCCTCCAAGACTGGGCCTTGAGCACCAGCATTCCCTGCAGCGAATCCAGCCAAGCCAGACCCCTGCGGGAGACATGTACGGTCCCCCTTCAGGGGGTGATATATTCTCAGGGAGTATTTACAGCAACACAGGAAGCTTTTGCAAAATATGGGAACAATTTATCAGTCACCTAGCCAGAGAATCTGATGGCCCTTGGGTTAGCAGAAAGAGGCAGAAGTTCAGCCACAGTCCAGCCTGGTCAAACCAGTGCCATGATGGGCCATCCAAGCTGCGATGGACTCCAGGTCTGGTTCGCTCTCTTTGTTCTCCCCTTTGTCTTCCAACTCCGGGACACCCTTCTTGGGGGATGATAACCCTGGGGCGTGGCTGTGCGAGCCCTGCTGAGCACCGCTCCCAGCCACCCTGGGATATTTAACTGATGGGAAATGCCACCCTGGTGCACGAAGAGCCAGACCTGGCACCCCGTCCTGTTCATAACCCGCACATCCAGAACAAAAAGAAAAGGAGTACTTGTGGCACCTTAGAGACTAACCAATTTATTTGAGCATGAGCTTTCGTGAGTTACAGCTTCACTTCATCCAGAACAGGAGCAGATAAGAAGCGTCAGCTGTTCCATAATGGCCCTGAGCTGGCATGAAGCAGATATGTTGTGTCCAAGGAGAGTGTATGTCCCAGTCTCCACTTCCATACAACTCAAGCTACAGCAATGGAGTGGCTAAGGAATTCAAGGAGAGATGGAGAAGCAATTTCCAGCGTATTTGTCTCTCCTGCTGAGCCCAACCCAGTGCACCACAGAAATCTCCCCATACCCTTCCCTCTGACACCCTGTCTGTAACGTGGTAATAGTGGGGGGAAGAACACAGAGACACACTTTTTGGATGAGAGCCCACAGCTGACTGGCCCAGTTTTGCATTGGCCTGCACAGCACTTTGTGACCCTGCACGCTCTGTCCTGGCCTTGCTTGCACAGGTAGGAGCTCGTTGGATCCAGGGTACTGGACGGCTGGCTCCCAGTCTGCAGTGTTCTTTGCATGTGAAAATGCAAGGATTGTGCATACACAAAACTCTGCATGCTCAGACATGCAGGCATAGGCTTAGAGGTGGGGCTGGGACTCTGGGCCAAAGCGTGGCCAGCTGGGACTCCGGCTAGGCACACAGTGAAGGAGTAGCTCATGCAAGCAGGAGCTGTTGTTACTGGTGAGGAGCTTAAAGATACTCAGTGGAAACTGAGGAATGCCCTTGTCCCCACAGCAGCCCCACGGGCCACTCCCCCGTCACCTGCCAAGAGAAGGACCGCTGAGTTCCTTCCTCTTCATTTCCCCGTCCCTCTCCAGGGAGCCAGAGCCGTTCTGTAGGAGAGAGGGATTCAATTGCCAAAGTCCAGGGAGTTCAGAATGAAGCTTGCCATGCGCGGGTGGCGCGTGGCTCCGGCATTTGGGGAGGCTGGCCCGAGGGCTCGAAGCTCCCCCCGCGCCCGCACTGCGGCCCCGCCCTCTGCTCCCCCCGAGGCCCTGCCCCCACTCAGCCTCTCCCCCCTGAGGCCCTGCCCCCACTCCACCCCCGCTTCGCCCCAGGCCGCATCTACACGCGGCCCCCCCCTCGCCACATCCCTCCTCCCCTCCAACCCCTCCCGCAAAGGCCCCCTCGCATGCCGAATCGCTCCCCCCCTGCCCCGCAAGGCCGCAACTGCCCGCTCGCCACATCCCTCCCCTCCTCCCCCCAGCCCCCCCCCGCCCGCTGAATTGCTCCAACCCCTGCACCCCCGAGACCCCCCCGGCACCTGCTGCTAACCGCATCCCTCCTCCCCTCCCCCCCCCGAGCCCCCAGTGGAGGAGAGGAGCGACTCGGCAAGCGGCGGGGGCCTCAGCGGAGGTGGGGAGCAGGGCTGGGCATAGGTGGAGCTGGGGGGGGGGCGGGGGGCTGGGGGTGAAGCGCGGGCAGGGCCACCGCAGCCCAGGCGCCCATGAGCTCAAAAGCAGCGGGGCGGCGGCGGGGCCACAGGGGAGGCTTCGCCGCCCCTCTCCTCTTATACCTGCTACCTTGCCATAGCAATATGAACCGTGCCCCTTGCGCGGCCCTGCTCGGGCGGGGGCTCCTTACCCAGCACGGGGCTCCGTCACCGGCTCCCAAGCGCCGACCCTGTTTGCTGAAGGGGGCTCAACGCTCCAGGCCGGCAGAGCCGCGGCAGCCGCTGTCCCGGGAGCGCGGGCGCCGGGCCGGGGGCGCCGGGCGGGCGTGTCGCTTCGTCGCGAAAGCAGCCGACACCCTTCCTCAGCGGGATGGGCCGGACCGTCCCCGCGCCCAGGAGCAACCCAGGGGCGCGCTCGGACTGCGGGGGAGAAACGGGCCAGGCCAGCTGCAGCCCCCCCCCGATTCACTGCACTTCACCGGGGACCGAGAATGCTTTGAATCGGCCCTGGGGCCCCAACTCAGCACTGGGAGCAGGGAAAAGACCGCTGCCAACCCCAGCTGTGGCGGGGGGGAGCTCAGTGGTTGGAGCATGGGCCTGCTAAACCCAGGGTTGCGAGTTCAATCCCTGAGGGGGCCATTTAGGGATCTGGGGCAAAAATTGGGGGTCGGCCCTGCTTTGAGCAGGGGGTTGGACTAGATGACCTCCTGAGGTCCCTTCCAACCCTGAGATTCCAGGATTCTGTGATTCTGTCCAGTCCAAGCGGCGCATCCCTGTGTGCCCACACCCTGCACCCGGGGCTGGGTAGCTTCATGGCCACAGCGCCACCTATCCGTGAAGCTGCGCAGTGAAGTTGACGGGCCAGCCCGGCCCGTGGGAGTTTGGCTGGGCTCCAGCTCAGCTCCCTTTGACCTCAGGGCTAAGAGGTCCTGTTCGGCCCTTCGGGTGGGATGAAAGCAGCTCGCCTCACACTGGTGGCCATGCGCAACTGCAGCGCGATTCTGGGGGAAGACGCGGAGAGGCCAAGAGTGTCCTTGGCTGGGCTGGCCATGGAGGAGCTCAGAGAGCCTTGACTCAGAGGGCTCCCCACTCGTGCGAAGAATCCCCCTGATGAAGCACTTTGTCCCATTGGCAGCCATCAGGGAAGAAGCAGGCAGGCTGGGGCTCGTCAGCTGTCAGGGAGGGTTTGCTACTCATCTGAAGGGCCCTGGCAGGTGCAGGGCCTTTTTTTTTCAGATTGACGCACTAACCAGTTTGGACCCCAGTGCCCCCAACCCTGTCCCCAGTAGAAGCCGCAGGGCTGCAGGGGAAGCCCCCACACCCAACCCCGCTCTCCAACAGAAGCACTGGGGATGGAAGGGGAAGCCCCAGCACCCACACCCCCGCTGTGGCCCCAGGACTGGAGGATCTTTCTCTACCTGCAGCAGCTTCAGGGCTGGGGGAGATCTCAATCCGTGCTGCAGCCTGGGACCGTGGCGGGGGGGTGGGGACAGAACTTCTACGGTCTTGGGGCCACAGTGAGGGGGGGCAGAATGGGGGGGACACTGGGTGGAATAGGGGCAGGCCCCAGGAAGGGGCAGAAAGGGGTGGGGCCATGGGTGGGGCCACAGGCAGAAAGGGTGGAATGGGGGCCTGACCATAGGCTGAAGGGGTGGGGAGGGGCCAGGGGCTCTGGCCCAGGGCCACAGGAAACCATAATCCACCTCTGTGGGTGGCTGAGGCTGGGATCTGCCCCAGGAAGGCAGAAGGGCCCTGGTGCCACCAGAGGGCTGCTCTGAGAGTTGTTACATACTGGGATGCCTGCGGGTCCCCTGGCCCCATGGCAGGCCCTAGCACAAACCCTGCTACACCTGACCTCTCCCTGTGCAGCCTCCAAATGCTATGGCAGCTCCTGTGGCTCAGACTGCACCTGGCTGGGTGGGCAAAAGCCATTTCCCTGGGCCCCCAAGGGATTTTGGCCCCAAAGCATCTGTCTGTCCATGCTCCCTCAAGGAAGTGGGGGTTGTTACAGCATCCTGCAGGCACCCAGCGTGGAGCCCTAGGCTGACCACTTTGCATTGCAAGGACCCATCACCACCCCCAAGATCCTGCTGTCCTGATGAATGAGTTTACAGTTACACATAGAACCCCTTGGGATTCCTTCTTCCCCGCCCCTTGCTCAGTGTCTGCAGCTCTGACCCCCAGTCTCTACCCAGCACCCAGAGCCCTCACACACACACACACACACCCCGCGCCAAGCCCGTGGCCCCCTTCACGTCCATGCATGGCAGCTGGGGTGCGCAGTGTGATTCATCCACATGCTGGTTTTGTGTTGGCTCCTTGGCTCTTTGCCATCAGATCAGCTTCCGTTCCTGGGAGGGTGTGGGTCCTGGGGCGGGGAGGTTGACTCATCCCAGTGAGGTCAGCCTCTCTTCCCTGCAATTGCAGCAAATCTACCCGCTAGCTGCTGCCTTGATTGTGGCGATCACTGAGTGGCCCCCTTATGTCACTCCCAAAGCCAGACCCCATCCCATGCGTGCACCAGTACCCAATCCAACACTCAGGTCTGAACCCACAGGGGACACCCAGTGATTCATGGATGGCTCATGGCCCATTCCTCCTTGTGCCTCCCTGTCTACCCAAATTCAAGACCTTGCCCCCTGGATCAGCAGCACGAGCTTTGGCCACAAGCCACCAAGTTATTCTCACGCTCAGGGGTCAGTGTGTTCGGGTGGTCGGTAGGAAACCCAGGTTCAAATCTGCTAGTCTACAGCAGACAGAGGACGGAATTACACCTGTGGCTTCACATGTGAGGTAAGTGCTCTAAGTATGGGGCTAAAGGCTCCCAAGGAGGCCACTACCTGGCAAAACATGTTCTCAAGGCCCAAACTATGCAGCAAATTTGCCAACAGTTTGAGATAGCCACAGATGCATTTTTCAGTGACTAATTATTTTTCTGAAAAAGTGTTGCCCAGCTGTAGCGGGGCCCCTGCTGGCATGCTCCCTGAGCCTCTCCCTGCAGGTTGGGTGCATTCACCAACCCATGCCCCTCCAATGCCACAGCCATGGCAGGGACAGTGCACCCTGGCAGCTGGAGTCCACTGCCCTTTAAGAGCCAACTGTTCACTCTTTATCCCACACATGGTTTGTTATTGTAAGGTTGCTGATGATCTCTAAGCTGCACATACAGGTTTGTTATTGTAGGGATGCTGAGGAGCCCTAGGTTGTGCACGCAAGTTTGTTATTGTAGGGTTGCTGATGAGCACTGAGGTTTCGCCCTGATTTCATTTTGCCCTTTGAGCTGGCAGCATCTCCAGCTGGGTGTTTTGTGAGCAATGCCCAGCCTCTAGACAGCACCTGAGACCAGCATCTGTCATGCAGCTCCAGGGACTGGCTTGGCCAAAACACTGCGCTCTGGGGCTGGTGATGGCTCAGCCTCTCTGGAATGGCCTGGCTGGTGACCCTTATGCTGCTGGGACACCTGGCACTGGCTGGCCCCCCAGGGAAGGCCAGGGCAGTAGCACAGCCCACTCAGTATCAGCTAGTAAATCCAGGTACTGGTGTCAGGAACGGTATTTGCATATTGGTTCAGGCGATAGCTTGTGTCCCAACATTGCCATCTGTTGGGCTCTCCCGCAGCGACACCCCCAGACTCCCACCAGAGAGCAAAGGGAACCATCAGTCTCCACAGCTGGGGCATTCTGTTAGCCTGGCCCATGGCCCTGCACACCCAAGGTATGTCTACACTGCAGTTCAAAACTCATGGCTGGCCCGTGCCAGCTGACTTGGGTGGTTCAGGCTAAGGGGGCTGGTTCATTGCCGAGTTCAGGCCCGGGCGCTAGGATCCTGCGAGGTGGGAGAGTCCCAGAGCTCGGTCTGCAGCCCAAGTGGGAACATTTATACAGCAATTAAACAGCTTCTTAGCCTGGGCCAGCCACGGGTGTCTAACGCCAGGCAGATCAGCAAGATTTGCTTGTGGGGTTCTGCAGCTGCCTGGCCCAGCTGTGAGCGTGTGTGGCGGGAGTGGGAGTGGGTCAGCAAGTCAGTGACTTGGTGGAGGGAGTGTCAGTAACTGGGTGGCCCTGGCTGGGGGGAGAATCAGGGACTGACTAGCCTAGGTTGGCGGGGGGGAGGAGAGAATCAGGGACTAACTGGCCCACATGGGGGTGGGGAGGGAGGGAAATCAGGGACTAACTGGCCTAGGTTGAGGGTGGGGGGTCAGGGACTGACTGGCCTAGGAGTTTGCATTTCTGTCCCGGTGTCCTGCCCCCCACCCCATGTGCTGGGCACCCAGCAGGGGGGGTCAGCGGGGGCTGTGACTGCCGCTTGTATTTCTGCTTGTCTTCCCCCGTGGCACCCTCACCAGAGCAGGACTCTGTGCACAGGACATGGAGCAGAACTCCGCCATGCAGGGCGCCTGCCATGGACACTTGCCCTGCTCACACATTACAGCCCGTTCGCAGGCAGAACACCAGCAGCTGCCCCGCCCCATGTCCCTAATGGATTTCTGAGCACAGATGAGGTTGGCTGCTTCCTCACGTAGCTGTTGCTATGCTGCTATGAGTATTCACTAATGCCCGCACAGCTCCACAACGCATGGTCGCGGGTGGGGGCTCATGAACATTGCCTGGGATTCTCTGCCATTTTCTTTCCTAGATACCAAGGCCAGAAAGCCCAGTGTGATCATCTAGGCTGTGCCCAGCACAAGCCAGAGACTCTCCCCAGAGATTCCTACATCCCCCCAAGTGCTAAAAAGAGGCCCAGTCTTCACTGAGCACCCCCACGTGATGGAGACTCCCAGTGTCCCTAGAGGAGCTGCTCCAGTGTTTAATTCTCCTCCCTGTTCAACATTTGGGCCTTGTTTCCCATTCAAGTCCATCCAGCTTCACCTCCCAGCCGCTGGCCCTCACTCTGTCTCTGGCCATGAGATTAAAGAGCCCTCAGCTGCTAGAAAGCTTCCCTATGTGGGTACATGCCTCTGCTGAGCTAACCCACTGGCGCTTCATTAGTCCCTCCTATCCAATCTGGTTTCCCACCACCTCTCAGTCCCATGGCTCCCTCAGCAATTTGTCCCAGTGCTCTTTGAAGTGCCACATGGAGCTGCATGGAGGTTGGCATCAAAATGTTCTCTCCTTGGGAAATGGTGATTCGTCAAAACCAACTTTCTGTTTCAACCAAACTTTCTCAGGGCCGGGGTGGAATTTGTGGGCAAAACCAGAGAGATGCACCCCAGATGAGCCAACAGCTCTGCCTGACTTGGAGTAAGGCCTTCAACCTGGGGCTCCCATGTCCCAGGCAAGTACTGGGCTGCAGAATCATTTGCTTGCTGCCTTTTGCTTGTGGCCAATGACTATAGAGTGATTTACACAGGAAACAGCTTCAACAAGAAAGATTTGGCTCTATAGCCTGGGGGTGCATGCACTCACATGGGATATGGAAGATGCAGGTTTAAATCGCTCCTCTGCCTGATTCAGGGGTGTTCACGGGGCTAGTGGCCATGCTGTGGTTTTTGTTTTTTTGTTTTTTGTTTGCTGTGACAAATTCTGAAAGGGCTGCTTCATTCTGATGCAGAACAAAACCTCAATGTGTTTTGTGAAGCAGCGGTCTTATTTTCCAAGCAGCCTGCCCCAATACTGATCTCCCTAACCCCTTGGTTGGAGGCCACAACACCTCCCTGCTGTTGTTCAGCATTCCCTTGTTAGCGCAGCCAGCTTTCCCGGCAGTGGGAGCTCATGTTCAGCTGTTTGCAACAAGGGCTCTTTTCCATTGTCCCTGGTGACTGGGCTACAGGCCCCCATTCTGCAGGGATGGCTGGTGTTCCTAGATGGATGACCTGGCATTTGGCCCTATTGAGACACATTTGCGTCCCGCTTGCTGGGCTCAGTAGAACTGGCCAGCTGTTGCTGTTATTTATCACCTCAGCATCAGCTGCGCCCTTTGCCAGCAATGAGTTGGTGTTTCCTTCCAGACCATCGATGAAGATATTGAATAGCACTGGGCTGAGAACACATCCGTGGGAGGCACCACCAGAAACATCCTGGCTGACGATTCCCCATTGGCCACGTTTGGGGATCTCTCAGCTGGCTTTTATTCCATGGGCTACAATGTTTGGAGTCAGCTGCTTCAGCAGGCAGTCGTGCATGCTCCGTCCCACAAACTTTAGTTGCTCCTGGACAGTAAGTGAAGAAGGACGCAGGCCCTGTGGCAGGCCTGGTGATGACGGACCAGCTGTCCCTGTGGGCTCATGGTAGTGGATGTGGGTGTGCCCCTGGCCACACGGTCTCTGTCTGGTCCTTGCACAGCAGTTAGATGAATGCTTGTGTTCAGAAACAATCATCGGCTTTACTGCTTGCTGTACCAGTGATGAGCAAGCTGCCCATCTTGACTGTGTATCTATCGGAGCATGGTCCATCAGCCAGACAGTTTCATTGCCGTTCATCAGCTTCCTACGCAGGGAGCACTAGCTGAGCGGGGCGGTGAGGAAGAGCCTGGAGAGCACTGTGAGGGCTAACTCGTTGCCCTGTGGGGGGTGGCTGCAGGATGGGGGTGGGGTGGGCAGAGAACCCCCTGACCCAGCACAGGGCTCTGGCAGGGCAGGGGTCAGTACCAGACAGCCCCTCCTGGAACCCTGCACTGCCCGTGACTTTGCATGCAGAGTCAAGCTTGCAGTGGCGAGGAGACTGGCAGCAGTGCAACAGCCAGGAGACCCCTGATGTGCCCAGCCCTGGGATCTGCCAGCCCAGGAATGCCCTGCCCAGGAGACAGGCCAGAAACCCCCTTGCATCTCCCAGACCCAGAGACTGAGTGGGTTCCCTTCGGAGTTCACCCCCAACTGTCCCTAGCCTCCCAGTGCACCCCCATTTGTGCCATCTTGACCCTGGCTGGACATGGGGTGGGAAGCCCATCTTGAGGGGTGTCTGGAGGTGCAGTGCTGCAAGGGATGGGGAGTGGGACCCTTGAGCCAGCAGATGCAAGGAGGTCTCAGTTGTTGCAAAGCTTGGGCTCAGCCCCCCAACCTCCAGCCCTGAGAACTCACTGGAGGCTGTCTGTAGAGGTCAGGCTGATGTGGTCAGGTGCTTCCACAGCAGCCAGCAGCTTGGGCCCTGTCTCCCCAGGCCAGGCTGGGCACACACCCAGGGCAAATCCTGCACCAGATGCACATACCTGAAGTTCTGCCCCATGCTTGGGGGTTGCTCCTCAGCATGGACCTGGCTGGAGTCTGGCTCAGCCCAAGGTTGGAGTTAGCTCCTGCTCAATCCCACTGACAGGCTGCAAGGTGTCCAGGCTGCCTCCTGTCCAGAGTTGGGTCTCCTAGCCAACAGCCTGTTGGCTCCTCTCCATCCTCACAACGGGAACAGCTGGAGGAGCTTGGCCATTGGTCCTGGGGAGGAGGACCCTCAACACTACGGGGCCGAGTGTGCACTGACGGTGACCCAGGCCTTTCCACCCTCCAAAGGGAAGGGCTGGCAGCCTCTCTCTTGGCCAGGTGATGCTGCAGGAATAAATCCCCCCCAGCCCCAAACAGGGGGAACAGATGGCCACGCAATGTCAGGGGGAGGGGTAGCAACCTTCTCACAGGTGTCCCCTCCCAGCCCAGCTCCCCGGGAAGCCCCATCATTTGAGACCCCATGAGCTGTAGCTGCATAGGTGCATGCGAGCACCGCGTCTCACAGGGAGGGTGGCTGACAGCTTTGCCTGACTTTATTGGGTGCTGGTACGGCACACTCAGTGTGTACATTTGGCCAAGGAGGGTAGCGGATTGTCCTGGGCCCATGGACCCAGCTCTGCAGTGAGCTGTGCCAATTAGCCACCTGGCCTGTCCCACGGCGCGGTCCTCTTCCAACAACCTCTTCCATGGTGAAACAGTCTCACAGCAGCAGCCTCAATCCGGTTTTCACTGCCCCCTCTAATGCAATGGGGGCCGGGGGCAGGTCAGGAGCAGGCCTAGCACCCCCCATCCCTGGTCTTATTCCTGCTGTGGAAAAATGTGTTAGGAATTTTCTGTGATATCGGGGTGTGGGTGTGTGTAGGCATACACAATGGGCACATCCCCTCAGCTTCTTCACACTGCCTATGGGCAGGCCAGCACTGCCAGGGGTCTCGGCACTTCTGGAAAGGGGCCACTTACCTGCCTTAGCAATAAATTATCTCCCAATTCCCCCCTTGGTCCCTGGGACTCCACCAGGCCCCTGTTCTTTTCCCAGCCCTGGCAACGGGAACCATGGGAGCCAGCTGGGCCAGGCCTGCAGGCAGGAGACCAGCGAGGAGGCGGTGGACACAGTGGTAGTCGGACCTGGGTCTTTCCATGGGGGTATGTACACAAGCTGGTCCCAGAGAAGGGGCGCATCCCCTAGGGTTTGGGAAGCGTCCTACTGTGTTGGCAAGAAGCCAGAGTGCAGCTAGTGGTCCGGCCACTCCCAGCGCCGGGCCCAGAGCCAGCTGTACCAGTGAGTCTGTACTTTGGCCAGCTGTCCGGAGCCCTTCCCTGGCTCTGCCCCAGCCAGGACTGATGGTGGGCCTCCCTGGGAGAGCTGCGCACATGCCAGGCCCAGGCTGGGTGCTCCATGGACACCTCCCTGCTGCACAGCAGGCTATAGGGTTCGGATAGCCACTGGGTAGAGCAGGGACATGTGCTCAGCCCCCTTGATGGGCAACTTGTGGCTGGTGTAGTGGTGGATGATCTTGGGCACGCTGTCAAACAGGGGGCTGTTCTGGCCCAGCACGTATTTGTTCTCTTGGGTGCGGGAGAGTTTCATGTGCATGAAACCCTGGCTGCTCCTGTCAGGAGAAAGAGACAAAGCCAGGATTAGAGGGGTGCAGTGCCACCCCCCTGCTCTGCCCAGCGCCGGCGCAGCATGCCCTCCACATAGCTCACTAGTGCCACCAGCCAGCTGGCCCTGCCCTCCAGCATGGGACCGTAGTGCAAGGGGGTGCCGAGCTCCACACACCAGGCTGCTTCAGCCCTGGCCGGCTGCTACACCTGCAGCCCCCACGCAGCACTAAACTAATGCAGAAAACAAACATCCCAGTTATCGGGAGCTCCTGCCTGCTGGCCCCCTGCAGCAGGGTCCTGGGTTCAAGTAAGGGCCACTCCTCATTCGTGCCAGGCCTGCTGAGCAGCTGTCTGAGCAGAGGGTGCCTTAGTGCGCCAATGGCATTAAACAGGACTTTTGGGTTCAGGCACAATCTGCACAGCCTGGCGGCCAGGCAGCCCCAGCAGGTGCTGGGGAGCAGGGCTTTGCCAGGAACACAGGGCTAGCAGCTCTTTGGAAAGCGGCAAATCCCCTTGTCTGGATCCCCGGGGCGGGGGAGGGGGGGGAGGAAATCTAAGATCTCCTGGCACCTTCCCACAACCCTCTGCTCCTCCCCCCCCCATTGGTGATTGGATTACAGTAGCTCCCAGAGGCCCCACTGAGGACCAGGCCCTGGGCACTGGCCAGACACCACTCTCTGTTGTGAGAAGGGCTCCGCAGACCCACGGGCAGTTGTATGGCCCAGCGGCAGAACCACTGGGTCCTGATTTGCTGTGGGACAGCTCGCTGACGGGCACACGCTCTCTTAGCATTCAGGGAGCTCTCTGCGAGCTCGTTCACCTGCTGCCCACGACCCGCCCGGTAGGAGTGAGGAGCGCGCAGTCTGTCACTGCCAGCCTCAGACCCGCATGCCAGGAACACCTTGCCCGTTCCAGGGCAGCGGCTTCTTCTCTTTGGGCCTCAGCCTGACCCAGAAAGCAGGTCCCGTCCCGACTCCGCTTCCTGCCTAGGCCTGTGCAAAATCCCATCAGCCTCCCTCAGGAGCAGCGAGGCCCAGCGCCGGCTGAGCCGCATGGGAAGATAATGCCACAGCCGCTGATTCCAAGTGACGGGCTAATGGCCCTGTTGCTATTAATTTGTGTCTCCAAGGAGCGCCACAGCCTGTCTGCAGCATCTGGAATGCACATTACCACAAAATATTGATAGCTTACGAGCAGCCTCGGCAGCTAGGCTGAGCCATCTCCAGCTCTGCGCTGCGGCCAGTCCCCTCCCCCCTGCCGCTGCCGTGCAGCAGCTGCGACTCAAGCGGAGGCCGTGCCCGCGATGGATTGATGGCTGCATTAGTGGAATGGGTTTCAAATCCATTTGCGAGCTCAGGAGCTGAGCCATTCTGGGGTGGGGGCTGTGCTGCTGCAGAGACTGAGCTGAGGCAGGCAGCTCCCAGCGAGGGGAGGCAGGAAGGGCCTGAGGTGAAGCCCAGCTCTGTACCATGTGCTGGGCCAGCTGGGGCTGCACCAGTCCTGCAGGAAACACTAATGCCCAGCCTCTACTCTGCCCGCTTGTGGATCATTACAGTGCTCCAGGCACTGATTGCCTGTCCACATTCGCAGTGCCTCCAGCTGATGCTAGCTGCTCTCTGCCCAGCCCCAGTCAGCCTGGGGGCTGCTCTGAGCTGTGCCAGCTAGGCATGGCCCCGAGGGACTGCGTGCCAGCTGGGGACTGCCGCAGTCCTTTGTGGGCAGGGGTTGTGAGGAGGGAGGTGGGGAAGCAGAGCCTGCCACCTGGGGACTCACCCATGCTGCAGGGCAGAGCAGAGCCACTCTCCCTAGCCAGGCTCTTAGACCATGCAAAGCACCATGGGAGGTGTCTGGGCACCACTGGGAAACCCAACCCCATGCACTTGGCAAGCCACTCTCCTGCAAACCACTGGTGCTGCGGCAGGGCAGGGCAGTGGGAGTGTAGCAGCAAGAGCCTCGTGTGAACACACTGAGCATGCCCAGCAGCAGCCCAGCAGTGCGGTGGAAGGTGCTAAGTCCCAGCCCCTGCCCGCCAGCAGGAGATGCTCGGTTTGCAAAGGGGTATTTTGCCACTCTCCTGCAGGTCAGAACAGCTGCAGCTTCCAACCAATGCTGCTCGGAGCCAAGCCTGGACAACATCAGCCTGAAAGGCAAGTATGGGAATTTTACCCACGACAGAGCCCAAAGCACAGCCATAACTGCAGAATCGCTGGTGCTCCCTCCAGGAGCCGGCAGCAGCAATCCCTGCCCTAATAGCTCCTCGCAGCCAGGATCCACCCTGACCAGGAAACTGACCCCGGAGCAGAATAGTGACTTGTGCCAGGTCACATGGTGGCAAAGGGCAGGCTCTTGGCCGCCCATCCTCCCTCCAGAATGGACCTTCCTCTTCCTTGGGAGGCTCCCAGAGGCAGACAATAAAACCCACTTGTAGAATCATAGAATATCAGGGTTGGAAGGGACCCCAGAAGGTCATCTAGTCCAACCCCCTGCTTGAAGCAGGACCAATTCCCAGTTAAATCATCCCAGCCAGGGCTTTGTCAAGCCTGACCTTAAAAACCTCTAAGGAAGGAGATTCTACCACCTCCCTAGGTAACGCATTCCAGTGTTTCACCACCCTCTTAGTGAAAAAGTTTTTCCTAATATCCAATCTAAACCTCCCCCCACTGCAACTTGAGACCATTACTCCTCGTTCTGTCATCTGCTACCATTGAGAACAGTCTAGAGCCATCCTCTTTGGAACCCCCTTTCAGGTAGTTGAAAGCAGCTATCAAATCCCCCCTCATTCTTCTCTTCTGCAGGCTAAACAATCCCAGCTCCCTCAGCGTCTCCTCATAAGTCATGTGTTCCAGACCCCTAATCATTTTTGTTGCCCTTCGCTGGACTCTCTCCAATTTATCCACATCCTTCTTGTAGTGTGGGGCCCAGAACTGGACACAGTACTCCAGATGAGGCCTCACCAATGTCGAATAGAGGGGAACGATCACGTCCCTCGATCTGCTCGCTATGCCCCTACTTATACATCCCAAAATGCCATTGGCCTTCTTGGCAACAAGGGCACACTGCTGACTCATATCCAGCTTCTCGTCCACTGTCACCCCTAGGTCCTTTTCTGCAGAACTGCTGCCTAGCCATTCGGTCCCTAGTCTGTAGCTGTGCATTGGGTTCTTCCATCCTAAGTGCAGGACCCTGCACTTATCCTTATTGAACCTCATCAGATTTCTTTTGGCCCAATCCTCCAATTTGTCTAGGTCCTTCTGTATCCTATCCCTCCCCTCCAGCGTATCTACCACTCCTCCCAGTTTAGTATCATCCGCAAATTTGCTGAGAGTGCAATCCACACCATCCTCCAGATCATTTATGAAGATATTGAACAAAACCGGCCCCAGGACCGACCCTTGGGGCACTCCACTTGATACCGGCTGCCAACTAGACATGGAGCCATTGATCACTACCCGTTGAGCCTGACAATCTAGCCAGCTTTCTACCCACCTTATAGTGCATTCATCCAGCCCATACTTCCTTAACTTGCTGACAAGAATACTGTGGGAGACCGTGTCAAAAGCTTTGCTAAAGGTGAAATGGTTCCCATCACAGCAGCCCAACTCCAGCCCGGGTGTGTGGGAGACACTCCTACTAACACCTACGGCAGCTGGAACCGATTCCTAGATGTTAAGGCCAGAAGCGACCATTGTGACCAACCAGAGACTGTCCCCAGCGAGCCCTGCATCCAGCCCAGAATGCCTGGCTCAGCAAAGACATTACCCCAACCACCGTCCGCTCATGCCTGGATCCCTGCTGGCAAACGTGGCACAGAGGGTCCCCAGGACATGGGCAGGCAGCACCAATGCCTACCTCTGGCACGGGGTGGGGGGGGGGGAAAGAGAGAGAGAGAGAGAGATAGAGTGTGTGAGAGAGAGAGAGAGAGAGAATATGGGCTCCTGCTAACCACAAGGTTTATTCCAAATGGCTCATACAAACTGCTTGCTTAATTCCTGATGGAGGAGAGAGGGGAATGGAAGGCAATGGATTAGCCCTGCAGGCAGCCATTCCACGCAATGACTACCAGATACCTCCGTGGGGACTGACAAAGGGAGCAAAGAGCAGGGCTCAGGCACTGGCTGCTGAGCAGGGGGAGCATTCCTGGTGATCCCTTGCATGGGGGCACATGGAGGAATGCCCCGGGGTCAGGACTAGAGACCATTTAATTGGTCACAAGAGCAACTTCCCATCTCTCCCACTGCCAGAAGACCCTCACCAGCCCCGCTGTCCCTAGCCAGGCTCTGCAGAGACTCACTGCCCAGGTAGGGGCCCGCTCAGCTAGCCTGCCACTGACCCCAGAGCCAGAGGGGAGAAGGAAATCCAAGCACTGAATGCCCCGGGGCTCCAGGCAAGAGTCAGGCCAGAGGAGAGGAGTGGTGCACCTGGAAAGCAGGTGGCCAGAGTCCATGGCCTTGATCCTGGACAGCGCTGAGCACCGGGGTCTCTATACAGCCATAGGCACTCCAGGCAGGAGGAAAGGGATTTCACTGGGCAGGCAGGGAGCCACAGCCAGATGTTGAAGGGTAACACATTCAGGGCACACACTGGAGACTGCTTCTGATACTCAGGGCACCGAGCTAGAGGAAGAGGCACCCAGCCCTGCAGCGACGGGCCTGTGTTGACCGGATGACATGGGCATTCAGGTAGAGATCCCCAACGAGGCCTGCTGGGAGGAACTAGAGGGGGCCCCAGGTGGCTCAGACTCAGCAATTCCAAGGCCAGCAAGCACCATTGTGACCACCTTATCCGAGCCCTGCCCAATACAGGCCACAGGGCCTGCCCCAAATCCATTCTTGGAGCAGATCTGGGCCCTTCTCTAGGGCATGCCACAGCCCTGCTGCTGCCAATCACGCTGACTCACCAAAGCAAGCAGATCAGAACGACACCAGAGTCCCCCTGGTATGTGGGCACACTGTGGCCAGCTCTGATGCTCCAAGCAGCCGAGCAGGGAGGGAGTGACCTGGAGTTC